TTCCACAGTCTGTGGGATCCGAAAACCGGCGAGTGCGGATTAACCGGATCGCCGTCGAAGTCACCGAGGCGTCGAGACCCTCTTTGACGGCAGCCAGCCACGGCGCCGGGGTCTCGGAAAGTCAATTTCACGGGACAAGCGGCTAAAGGGAATTGACAGGTTCATCGAGGGATGATTGCGCGGATCCCCCCTCCGTCCTCGTCCCCCGTACGCCGGCGTTCGGTATTTTTACGAGGCGCGCGGGACGCGGTGCGGCGAGAAGGAGACGGAAGCGGACCTAAGCGAGCGCCACCCCATCATATTGATCCCGTAGCCGGCTGCTCAACATGGCGCCGGGGGTGGCGTTCACGATCGGCTTGGTCCTCGTCGTCGGACAGCTACACCTGCGGCCGGGTACCTTCGCCAAGACCTTCGCATTCCCCGAGTACCCGTACAAGGAGACCACCAAGAATGTAAGTTCGGCCCACATTTAACACCGGCTACTGCCTATCGCGCGATCCGCCCGCTGGAAGAGGTTATGGCAGCCCTCGGTTCTCCGGGTGGCGCTATTTCGCGGCACCGGGATGCTGCATGGGCCTGCTCCAGAATTCTGTTTTGCTTTTCTTTTAACATCAAAATTAAATAGAGACGATAGCAGTTCGTTTGCTTCTGAATGATTTCGAGACGCTATTCGCTTGAACTCCTCGGGGAAAATTATATTCGCTAGATTACGGACACCTCGATTGCAGCACTGTGCATGGTGTTCTTTCGTTTGATCTTCTTATGGAGTTTCGGAAGAATTTTGCGATGTTTCGAAGTGGATTCGTGGATTGAATTATTTTTGTTATTTTCGGATAGTTTGTGTCCTCGTGAGAGATGAGTTTTAGGCGGTTTCTGATCAGTGGCTGATTGGTTATTGTACCGATCCATGATTTCTGCGTTGAATATCGATCGAGCATTTTCGATCTATTCATGCCGATATACTCTGACGGAGGAGAGCGCGTTGAGAGGATTTCCTCCACGAATCGGGATTAACATCCCCATGGGGGACGTGACGGGCGGTGGCACGGTTTCGCCGAAGGGGTGAAATCGATTTGGCATTAACCCCGAAGACAGTCAAAGCGCCCGGGGGCGCGCTTCGACGGTATCGCGCGCTGATATGCTTATCCTCCCCGCGGAACCGACACGGTTGTGCCAGCCCCGGGTGTCCTTAGGACAAGGATCACTCGAAGCCGCGTACAATCGATTGCGCTAACTTCTCCAGAAGTGTACTCGATGGAATCCGGAGCGTGCAAACATTTCGTTTCTTCGTCACTTGTTGCATTAATGCCAGGTCGAAGGGAATGCCAGTGTAACAGGGGAAACGGACGGTGTTCTGTCAGGCACGTTCTTCAACTGTTTCGAATTGGATGCTTCAGATTAATCGGGGTTTTTTAAGGCAATCGACTTCGTTTCTTCAATGTTTCCGTGTCGTAGTGTTAAAATATTTTAATTGTTTCTTAATATACGCAACCAGATCGAGTTTCTCTTACTGTTTGTGGAGTTACTTTGACGAAGGGATGTTATTTATTCTACGGAACCTGTAGAATTTTCTTATTAATTTCCACAATTTTTGTTTTAATTTGCTATAACACGGAATAATTATGTTTTTAATTAATTATAAATTTGTTGAGACTACAAGGTGTTCGATTGATAATCGTTTGATATATTGAAGAGTTTGATGAAATGTAAAATTGATATTTGTTGTTTAGAGATAGAATATAAGATTTTGATTGATTTCTGGTTTTGGAAGTTTCTCCGTGAGAAATTCTGCTTCCCGAACGTCGGTAGATTATATTTTCAGAGCGCAGTTCCCACGAATCCGAAAGATTAACATGCGAAAGTATCTCCAAACTGAGCCGCCCACGGAGCATCTTAAATTTAATAATAATTTAATGACAATATCCTCTCTTAAAGGAGGAGGGAGACGATCCCCTTTGCGTCACGGTATAAAGATAAATAAGAAAGTTGCGGCGATGTTATTAAACTTCCCGGTAATAGCGGCATTAGCTACGACTGCTCTTATTATTTCCATAGCGGCGCTGGATTGTCTTCAAAGAAAATTGAACGAGCCAGCGCCAATAATAGAACTCGTTCGAGCACTAATTGGGGTTAATCTCTGAAGAGGCTCGAACAAATTGTTGCTTTCGATTTCATCCTTGCGCTGCTGCGTTCTACACGGTTTAATGGTAAACATTATCAGCGAACAAATGAGTTGAAACGATATTTACGATGATAATGATCCGGGTAATCGACTTTTAATACTAATAAAGATTTCGGCTACTGATTTTGAACGATTCAAGCTCTGTTGTCTGTTCTACAGGAATTTCTGTTTGATAATCACGACTCGTATAATTTCACTCGTAATATTCGCGAATATTCCGGGCACAGATTTCGAGTATTTCAAGTTTTGTTGTGTATTTTATAGGAACTTCTATTTAGACAGTTCGAGCAGGCTTGCGAGGAAAGCGGCGCCTGCAAGATGCTTCCGCCAGATAGAAGCGACATCGCGAAGACCAGATGCATTCGAGAATGTGTATCGCCGTCCTGCTACAAAGAGATCTACCTATTCGACCAGGTAATCGCGATACGGGTCAACATTTCGATCAGAAAATGTCAATTATAATGTAGATTTCACGAAAATCCAAAGTTCAACAGAGTAAAACATGAAAGAACAGTTTTGATTAGTCACCTTTTCATTTCGTAGAAATCAGATGGATCTAGTAACTGAATAAAGTAATTACTCCTCGGTTAGTTTCGTGGATATATAAAACTGTATATCTACGTAAATTATATATACTGTACAGTAATCGTACACTTCAGCTTATCACACGCTTATCGCGAAGATAAGCATAATTTGGGTGAAATTATGGAGAAGATAAGATGATATATATATATAGACGGGACGTTATCAAGAAGTTTGAACAGGTAATCTGATTAAACAATTGTTTCGATCACGTCTATTGAGTCATAATGAAATCATTAATTCGATCGGCACAGAGGGCAGAGTAATTCGCGAATGTGACGAAGGAACGAGCCGCTCGGTTCTTATCTCTTACACGAGGCTCTTAATTTACCGTGTACCTACACCAGCGCAGAAGCCGTCTAATTAGACAAGTAGAATGAGGATGGTGCACGTCAGACCGGGAGTATAAATCCTCTGCCTAGTCAGACAAGTAGACACTGTGTACTCGAGCAACTACAATGAGTGTTAGTGAATAGTCGGGCATGCAGAATCTGGGTCGCGTGTAATAGTACAGTAGAATGAGGTCTGCACACTGCCAGACAACCCCGGGACCTTATTGTTCGCTTGTTATTCAGAACTTTGAATTTGGATCAACCGCGCCCGTCTATATTGTATCTATACACATTGCTTCACAATAGAAACGTTCTGTGTAATGTAGATTTCATAAAAGCGGACAAATCGTTTATCATTCTCTCGAAGAACCGTGTGACGATAAAATAGAATAGAACAGACGATAGATAGTTATTCACTAGAAAAGTATTTTAATCGTGTCTATTTGTTTATTATAAGAATATTATATAAGAAATCTACAACGTTGGTTCGTAACAAATCTAATATTGTTTTATATTTTATATTTATATTATATTATATCTATTAATTTAATATCCTAACATAATGATACAGACCTACCACATGAAAACAAAGTTCAACATTTTCCAATCCTACTCGACATTTCTGGTTCACCTCTCCTAGAACTGTGAACGCGTCGATGTAACAAAAAGCAACCGCCGCTTTTATCAGATATCGAGTCGAACGAATCGAATGAATCGAACTGTTCGGTTTCCAGCTTGAAGAAGGCGAGATCGACGTCAGACTAAACTCGTTCAAGGGTTGCTTCATGCAGCGCAACGGCCGACCGCGGAAGTAAGGGGAAGAGGAGAACGAGGAGAATGGGGGAAAGAGGGGAGAA